GAAGGCGGGGCAGATACATGCATGCCGCTGGCTCAAGTCTGCTCCTGCACTAGTAGCGAAAGCATGGGTTCCACCTGGAAAATGAAAAGAGAGGATAGCCTTGCGTTGGTCCAGTATAGATTGATTGTGTTGCGTAAGTCAACTTACAGACGATGGCGTCTGGTGTGGTTGTGTGGTGCTTTAGCGATGCTTCGAGTAATGTCCTCTGAGGCAGTGTTAGTATTTACAGTCTTGACGGCGGAGGGGGGTGCGCGAGATGAGGCGACTTTGAGGATGGTATAAAGCGAGCGCATTGCCCGCTGCACTTTTTGTCATTGCATCAAGCTCTTCACAGTCGCTATGTTGACCCTGAATTTCCTATAGCCTCACACGTTCTCTCTTTGTCACTCATTCCTCTCTCTCTCTCTCTCTCTCTCTCTCTTTTCTATTTCTTTATTTTGTTTTTCGGATACCTTCATTTATTCAATCTTCTCTCTTGATTAAACGACATACCCTGCTTTCGGGGTCTGAGCTACCATGAAGCTCCCTCGCATGACCCAAGCCTTCACGGCTGGCTTAGCCCTGCTGGGTCCAGGGGTCGTCGCAGACAGTGTCGATGCTCAGTCGGCCTTGTCTGCCTTTCTCAGTGCCAACCCAATCAGTACACGGTCAGCTTCCGAGCCAAAGGCCACGGTCGACTTGGAGACCCTGAAAGCTGCCGTAGTGGCGGGAAATTACACTCCGTCGCGGTCATGGGAGTTCCTTCGCGCTGCTTGTCCAGGAAGTTGTACTGACCTGGGACTCGATTCGTCGGCCTGGCCGGTCTACTCCGGCGTCCACCGGCTCTCTCTGTGTGATGAGGCTATGCTACTGCAATTCGCTCTATACACCACTGTCAATCAGTCTCAGAGTCGAGTCGGTCTTCGTGGCTGCACGGCGGACCTGGTTGCTGATACCGCCGCGCAAACTGGAAGTACTTCGTGTCAGATGCCTACGAACATGACCTCCGTGGTCTCGTCTCTGCAGATTTCCCGCGACACGGCCTCGTCGGCAGCAGCCTCTGATAGCGACGCGGTCGCCGCGTTGACCCAACTGCTGGCCTACGAGACACTCAATCCGTCGGCTGCGTGTAATGAGACCATCAATTTTGCCCTCGCGGGACAGACCACGGTGGGTCTGTATATGGGCAGCAGCTTGCACAGCCAGAACCTTCTTGCTCCCATTCTCGAGTCGCTCATTGAAGAGATTCAAGACAAGGGGGTCTCCGAAACTCTAATGGTGCAGCTCTGCAGCAGTCAGCACAGTGCCCGGTACGCCTTCGGCGTTATCGTCAGTGCCAGCGGAGACTTGTCGGTCGCTCAAACCGCGGTGCAGACGTGGCGCAACAGTAGCTGCATAGCCACTCTGGATGATAGCACTATCTGGCAGAACCTCACCTATTCGATCCCCACTGTGTCACACGCCCGAACCAACACCACCAGCCTGTGGGCTCGTCAGCGGTATGCCCCCAGCCAGCTTCGCTCGCGAGACGATGACGATGACGATGACAGCACGACTTGTACGGCAGTGCAGGTGGTTTCCGGCGATACGTGTGCGACACTAGCGACCGAGTGTGGCATTACAGCGACTGAGCTCAGTACCTACAACCCCAGTTCCACCTTATGCTCGAACCTGACTGTGGGCGAGTATATCTGTTGCACGGAGGGATCCGCTCCAGATTATGCCCCCTCGCCTGATGCAGATGGTTATTGTTACTCATACCTGATTCAGACCGGCGACTCTTGCGACGTCCTCGCCGCCACATATACTCTGACCAAGGACGAGATTGAGAGCTACAATACCGAGACATGGGGATGGTTGGGCTGCGGTGATCTTCTCGTCGGTGAATACATGTGTCTGAGCTCGGGTTATCCTCCAATGCCTGCGGTGATCGCCAACGCCGTCTGCGGGCCGCAAGTCAACGGGACAGTCAGTGTTCCATATGGAACAAATCTTAGTACCCTGAACGAGTGCCCGCTGAACGCCTGTTGTGATATCTGGGGGCAATGTGGTATCACGGCAGAGTTCTGTACCCCCACCGAGTCAACCACAGGCAACCCGGGCACGGCCGCGAACAACACGAATGGTTGTATCTCGAACTGTGGAACCGAGATTGTACAGAGTGACGCTCCCAGCGAGGTCTTTAAGATTGGATATTTCGAGGGCTACGATGTGGAGCGCGCCTGTATGCGTACCATGATTGCGGATATCGATACGAGTCTATACACCCATATCCACATGTCCTTCGCCACGCTGAATGCAGATCTGTCCTATAACATCTCCAGCCTGGAAGATCAATGGAATGACTTTGTCGAGTTGGATGGAGTCAAGCGCATCATCACTGTGGGTGGATGGGATTTCTCGACCGACGCGGACACGTACGACATCTTTCGGTCTGCAGTCTCCGATAGCACTAACCGGGCTACCCTGATCACGAATACCATTGATCTACTCACCACCTACGATCTCGACGGTGTGGATTGGGACTGGGAGTATCCTGCTGAGCCGGATATTCCAGATATTCCTGCCGACAGTACCGATGACGGGACCAATTTCTTCCTCTTTCTTCTGGAGCTGCAGATGCAGATGGCAATTGATGCCCCGGATAAGACTATCTCAACGACGGCACCTTCCTCGTTTTGGTACTTGAAGGGTATTCCCATTATGGCCATCAGTGAGGTGGTGGATTATATTGTCCTGATGGCCTACGATCTACACGGGCAGTGGGACTGGAACAATACGTATGCTGATCCGGGCTGTACCCAAGGCGGTTGCTTGCGGTCCCATGTGAACTTGACGGAGACTGTCAGTGCCTTATCGATGATCACCAAGGCGGGCGTGCCCTCGAACATGGTGGCTGTGGGAGTAGCGAGCTACGCCCGATCCTTCCAAATGACTGAGGCCGATTGCTACGGCCCCGAATGCACCTTCACCGGCCCGGATTCGGGAGCGGTTCCAGGCGCTTGCACGGACACTGCTGGGTATATCTCCAACGCCGAGCTCGCAGGAATTGCGGAAGAAGTGGAGGTTTATACGTACATTGACGAAGATTCGAACTCCAACATCATGGTTTGGAACGACACCCAGTGGGCGGGCTATATGGACGATGATATCAAAGCCAGCCGCGCCGAGCTCTACGAGGGCTACAACTTCTTGGGAATTGCTGACTGGGCGATCGACCTGCTGACTTCCAACGGGTCGACTTCGACGTCGGAGGGATCGAGCTGCGAAGTGTACATTGATCCATCGATCTGGGACGAAGACAGTCCATCTGTGACGGCTGTCCCCGGATGTTCGTTGATTTGGCCCCCTCAGCCCCTCAGCAGCACGACAACCATCACCCTGCCCCCCTGGACTACCACCCTGACCTACACTACCGTGGTGACTGAGACAACGTCCGCCTCCAGTGGCGGGGATGTGACGGCAGTCACCTCTCACGTTAGCTACTGGTTCCCAACCATCATCAGCATTCCGCCGGTGCAGACGACCGCAATTCCTGTCTGGGGCGTCAATCTCCCCAATGGCAGCACCACTGGAACAATCTGGCTGACTTCCTCGGTTGAGCCATCACCGTTTGCTGTTACTTGGACTCCGTAAGTGCTCGCAACCCCCGTTCAACCCCGTCTGTTGGATGTGACTGACCATGATTCTAGTACCATCGGAGGCACCACCGTGGTGTCGGCTGCCACTACCACCGCCACCGAGACCTCTAACGTTGTCGTCTGGGGCGACTACACCTACGTGGAGCCGGCTGTCACCGAGACTCTGGGTGGCTCAACTACGGTGATCTCAGGAACCATTCTGCCTCCCGTGACTACGACGGTGACACCGGTCGTCTATCCCAGCACCACGGACACCACTCACGATACCAAGCTCAACAGCAAGACCACCAAATGGACGAGTGGCAAGCCTCCAAGCCCGACGGCAACAGCGGGCTGTGCGGGATGTGGCACTGGCTGTCAGTGATTATTCTCCCTTCCTCCTCATGTCACAGAGAAGCTAACTTCTGAAACCTGCGTGGTAGGTGTACTGTTCTGTGATTCTGACTGCCCTATCTGCCCTATCGGGGTAGACATCACTGGTGGAGGCAGTGGCGATGGCGACGACGACGACGACTCCTCGACCACGACGACATGTTCCAGCACGACCACGACCTCGAACTGCGACGTGTACTGCACCATTGCAACCGAATCCGCCATTGCGACCACGGATTGCACCTCGACCACCTGCTACTCGGTGACCGGATGCGATATGACCGCCACAACGAAGACCTTCACTTCGGAGACCACGGCCGCCTGTCCCGCCGTGGCGACGGGGGCGGATCTGGCGCTCAACTATGATAGCTTTTCGGGCTGCCAGGCATGTGCGTGGCACTTTATCCCGTTCTACGGCGACGATGACGCCTCGTACGAGGACGATTGGCCGATGCTGGCGGAATCCGAGTACGCGTGGCCGTCCATCGACCTGAGACGTCGTGGAGTGGCCGCGGATCTTCCCCGGATGACCGGAACCGGCACCGGCACCGTGATGATGCCGACGTCAACAGCAAGAGCAACTGCGACTGTGACCGGACTCCGAAGGACTGAGCCCGCGAGCGCAAGGATGACCACCGCGCCGGCCAGGGCGCCAGGTGCACATGGCAGATTCATTGAGAAACGCGACGGAGCCAAGCGCGAGACGATCAAATCGGTGGGCAAATGCGCTTTGGGCGCGGATACCACCGTCACCGTGCCCCCCTACACCAACGGATACGACTGGTACAACAGTGAGACGGATGGTCTGATTGTGGGCTCGCAGACGGACATGCCGCGGTGGTATCATACCACCACGGCCGCTGGTTGTGCGGTGGAAGTGACCCAGGTGGCTGTCGCTGACCTGCCGACGGATTTTGGCGATGTGGCCACGATGGACCATGCCTGTGAGTATCTCCTCGCCTCAGCTTACCTTGGAACAATCGACATGAAACTGACTACGTGTTACAGGGGAAATGGGATGGCTGAAGGACTTCTTCAGCCAGATGTTTACCGGTGCCACCACGAGCACCTTCTCGTGCGCCGACGCCGAAGTCATCTTCTTCGGCTGCGGCAATCGCTTGCAGAGCGTGAGTATCCGTCGAGGCCCAAGTACATTCTCCCGCTGACTCTCATGACCTTTTCTCTCTGGTAGATCTACTCGGCCATTGCATCGGATGACTACTTTGAGTTCATTGGAATCAGCAAGGTACTCAATCGCCTCAAGGCGGCAATTGCCAAAAAGGACTACGGAGGCAAGACCTTCAAGAATTGGACCAACACGAAGGGAGTTGGAGCCATCAAGGCAACCACGCCTTGGGTGGGAACCGCCGAGACGAATGCCCTCCAGTCGATGGGAGCGCGCACCAAGTTCCGCTCCAAGATGGAGCTGCTCTGGCAGATGGCGGCTTCGTGTGTGGTCATCACCGATACTAACGTCAATGACTACATGCAATCGACCAACGCACGGATCTACAACAAGATGTGAGTCTTCGCTATGCGGGTGTGTGTTTTGTAGTCATACTAACGGGGAATCACTCTCCCTTGCCAGGCTTGCGTTGGACAACTGGATCAGCGCCAACCTCGATAGCACGTACTCCGACACCGACACCAAGAAGTTTGCAGTGCAGTTCACCAACTTCATGAACACCTACTCGACGGTCACGACGACGGTGCAAGGGTATATCGACACGCTGATCACGGTGATGGACGCGGAATCGGCGCTGCTGACGACCATCGCCGGCAACTCCGGCCTGACCAACGCGCTGGACGAAGCCAACGATATGCTCACGGGCTACGCGGCCCTGAAAAGCAAGTACTCGAGCGTGTGCTCCACCAGTATCACCTGGGACTTCACCGCCGACGCCAACCCGGCGCTAAAGCGGCGCGACGACGACGATGACACCGAGACCACGGCGGCGGCGTGTACCATCAGCTCGTCTCCCACCACCACAGCCAGCGCCTCAGCCTCCAGCGACCCGCTGTGCGTGATTGGCGAGGACCCGGACGCGGGGATTAGCGGGGCGTTCTGCGTCTGCACGGGGGCGGCCAGCAACATCCCGACGATGACGGGCAGCAACCCGTGCGGCTACACCGTGCTGCCGACCTCGACCTCGACCAACAAGTACCCGTACACGTTCACGGACTCGCTGGGCGACCAGATAGCGTGCGCCTCGACGACCAAGAAGGTCAGCGACGGCACGACCGTCACCAGCTGCGCGGGCGCCTCGACCACCGTCTCCATCGACTACGCCAACAACCCGTACCCCTACACCTTCACCGACTTCTTCAGCGACGTGATCGCCTGCGAGTCCACCACCATCTACGACGTCGCGGGCTATGAGCTGACCGAGTGTGCGGGCTCCAGCACGACACTGGTCACCGCCACCACCACTGAAACCGAGGTCATCACCACCACCGCCCTCAGCGACCTGTGCGTCACCGGCAATTACTACTCGTGCGTTACCTTCCTGTTCAACTTCCGCATCGCCTCGTGTCCCGGCACCCCCAAGGCCCGCGCCGAGTGTATGGAGGACGCTTCTTCGGATGTGCAGATTGAGTGTGAGAAGCTGTGTGTCATGACCACGGGGACGACCACTATGACGGTGACGACGGCGGCGGCGCCGTAGAGGTATGGACTTGTGGCTGGCCTCCCTCTCTCTCGGTATACATCTCTAGTATTAGTGAGAAATTAAGAACCTTTATTCCATACGGAACGGCCGACACCCGAGTATTTCAGTATATCTCATATGCCAGCGTAGCGACATGGCCGTTGTTCTGGTCCTAGACACGATGACTGGCTCGTGTGGCCAAGGGGTGCTATGACTCATGAACATGAGATTCGCGATCGTAGAATCTTGACTCCATAAATCTACACATCCGATTTACTTTGAATCAGGATTCATGACATCACTCGTGGTCCGTCCCCATTATCCTCAGGTGAATGCCTCCCCGCCAGAAACACCATTTAGGGCTCGACCCGCCTTGTCTTCCCGCTATAAGATCACCTCTGCTCCCCCGTTCCCCGTTCCCCTTTCTCTCCGACCCGCGCCCCATCCAACCCACACCCACCCAACACCAACACAAACACCATGGACGCTGAACCAGCATCCCCATCCCTACCAGGGAATTTTCCCCCCGAAATCTGGCATCACATCGTGAACGTCGTAGGCAACCCCCTCCCTACCCCTCTCCCCGACCCGCCCTCACCAATCTAACCTCCAAACCACAAGCTCTTCTGGACCGACCGCACCGCCCTAAAAGCCCTCGCGCAGACCAACCAAGCGCTGTACCCCGTCGCCGCATCAGCCCTATTCCGGACCCTGCATTTCGAGTTCAACGGCGGGATGGATCACTGGGCGCGAGAGGAGGCGAAACGCCCGTGGTCCGCGCCCGAACCGCCCGTGCGGTGCTGCGCCTTTGTGCGGGCGATCGTCGTGACGGGCCACCAGCCGTGGAATGCGGGGCTTGGTAATGGCATCGACGTTATGTCGGATGCCCAGGAGGCGATGCTGTATTATCTGTTTGGGGCGGCGAGGGAGCTTCGGCGGTTTTAGTTGAGTCTCTTCCGTCTTGTTCAGGTGGGCCTGCTCTCTGACTACGTTTTTTGGGGGGATTGTAGTTGGTGGTACGAGACGTACATGCCCGGGGTGATTCTCCGGCGCCTCTACGAGGTCTCCCCGGCGACGGAGGTGCACATCCTCAGTTCCCAGGTCGCGCTGACCCAGAGGATACACCTGCATCAGCCGAGCCGGGGGCCTCCGCAGCTCGCGTGTCTCCGGTCTGTCGCGGCGGAGTGGTTCCGCGGCGAGTATGATCCGGCCCCAGATCGGGGCCGGGGGAGGGGATGGGGAAGCGTGCATCGGCCGGCGTCGTTGAAGGAACTGATTGTTCGGAGTCCGCGGCTGACGCATCTGTCGCTGACGGGACGGTCGACGTGGCGACGGGGGCAGCGCTGGGCGAACGAGGCGCCGGGGAAAGAGGAGGAAGAAACAGCGGCCGAGATCGAGGAGCGAGGGCTGATCACGCTGGAGGACGGAGATCGGCTGCCGGAGACGCTGGCGCATCTCGCGTTCCGGGGGATGCGGTTCGGCGCTGCGCAGAGTCGTCTCTGGGCGACGCAGTTGCGCTGGGAGGGCGTGCGGTCCCTCTCGCTTGTTGCAGTGGACTGGATTCACCTCTTGCCTGCTCTCAGAGGGGGAGCTCAGCTGCGCGAGCTGGTCTGGCTCGAGCTGGGCATGCCGCGGTTCACGAATAGGGGAAGAAGAATCAATCCGGAGGCGGCGCGACAACGCGCCGGGCTGCTGGAGGCCTTCCTCCGGACACAGCCCCGCTCGCTGCGCACCTTTATCGGAGTGGACCTGCCTGCGGACGTGGTTGCGGTGGTGGCCGAGGCGCACGGGGCGGGCCTGCAGCATCTGCGCCTGAGGACATCATCATCATCATCCCGCGATCCAGCGACTCTCGCGCCGGCCCAGCTGCATCAACTCCCCGAGGACTTTCCCAACCTCCGGTCTCTGGGCTTGTTTCTCCCCTCTTCGCAGTGTGACAGTGACATTGACAGCCTCCTCATCCCGCTCCGCCGTCTCCCGCACCTCCACCATCTGGAGCTGAATTTCCCTGCTCGACAGTCTGTCCCGCGCCCCGACCAAGGGCCTGCCAATAACGACTCCCTCAACATTGATTCCAGCAATATATTCAACCTTTTCCACCGTCTCGATATCCCGGATGGCCCACACCTGCGCTCCTGCCACATCCTGCACGGGGACTGGAATAGCCTCGACCACCCGCCCTGCCACAGCAGCCAGCACGACGCGATCCTCGTTGCCGAACGCGACCCCGCCGGGTATGTCCAGGTCTCCCAACTGTCACGGTGGCGACGGGCTCCGGGACACGATCGGCACAGCACGCCGACTTCCTCGGTGAACCTGGTGGGCCGGACGCTGGAGGTGGGGGGCTGGCCGGGGATGGCCGGGGAGGCGGAGGCGGGGCTGACGACCACGGCGGTCGCGGTAGATATAGGATGGGGGGTGAAGGATGCTCGGTGGGGGAGACGGTAGATCGATCCCGAGACAATCATGCGTGGAGGATGCTTTGCGATTGACGATGCTGTGTGAGGGACGTCGGGTTTCTCTTTTGTGGAGGGGTGGCGTGTGTCTCGTGGTAACCGGCGCCGTGCTTGCTAGAGAGATTCTGGCCGGAGGAGGGGTTAGGGTGTTGGGGGGACACAAGAAATGGGTATACTTGAATAAGGTGGTTGATCTTGATACTCCCTGGGAGCTTGCCATGTCCACCAGAAACTTTTACAGATTTTGAAGGCTTTGCTTACGTGGCTACCAAGGGTGTCTACTTCTGTTTCAGTAACATGATGTCTGGGATTGGGGTATACTGGGGTAGATGCAGCTCTTTCGCATGTTTGTGTGAAGATAATACAAGATACACGGTATAGATCCAGGGATATATTTGGATACCAAAAGATTAGCTTTCTCGATGAGTGGAAGGCTACCTGTTATATACCATTACAGATACTACACCTGATAGGACAACTATTACCACTACTACTTAGTAGTATTTCTTTTTCATAGCCAGTAACATCTCAACTAACAAGTTCCTCAATAACACCGTTAAGGTGTTTGTCCAATGCGAGGCCTGGCACGTTCCGTACCGCATCTCTCAAAACCAAAGAAACTAACTGCACCAGATGGAAGAAGATGTTTAACAAGAGTCAGACAACGGCTCGTTCCAACACCTGGCCAACCCTTCCCCCTCAACACACCAACTACACCCCATCCCACGCACCGCCAAACCCCTCATCCCGCTCCAAACACGCCCAGATCGACCTCCGCAGCGAAGCCACCGCCACCACCCCACCATCCCTGACCTTCGGTTCCACAAAAAACACCATCCCATCAAGCAACGCGTCCATGAACACCGGACTAGGAACCGATGCCACCCCGTCGCGTTGAACGGGGCCGCCGCCACCACTGGAAAGTTCAGCTGGATCCGGGACGTGTCGGGCTGCGCGGCGATCCACCTCCCTAGTTGACGCACCTCCGCCGGGGAGACGTGTCGGATGCGGTCGTTGATGAGCCCCGCGATCTGCCAGAGGGGTGCCTGCGTCAACGCGGTTGACTCCAGCTCTATCACGGGGGTTACGACCGTGTTTCCGAAGGTTCGGTCGGGCAGGCTGAGGTGCGGGAGGAAGTTCACGCTGGTGCCGAAGACGGAGGATCCCAAGGTTTTCTCTTCGGTATCGGTATCGGCGAGCAGACGAGCCCGTTGCACCCGCTGCCAGATGTGTGCTGTCAGCGCGGTGAATCCGGATACTCGGGCGCTGGGTGTATCAGGATTGACCGCCTGGGCTTTGAGACTGAGCACAGCTGCCGCTGAGAAGCCTAAGCTTCGTCCCACGATCGGGTCTGTGTCTAGGGTGTGCTGGAAGTCCGTTTCGTTCTGGGAGTGGGTTTGCGCCCCCGCGTCGGGGTCGTTCAGGCTGTAGGCTGCGAGCGGGTCGGCGAGTGCCTGTCTTCGCTCGTGATCTTCCATGTGCAGCATTTCGGCGACCATGAATGGCGGGTGGTGCGGCGGCGACGTCAACTCAATTCTTTCCGGCTGCTGTGGCTGGGTCGGCCATGGCGCGATAGATCGCCGCTAGGTCCTGATATAGCCCCAGAAAGCTGCCGGCTCCGCAGAGGACGTGCGAGATCCTCACCCCCAGGGCTACGGAGGAGCATGCGAACTCTGTTCGTTGGATGGTGAGGACGGAATCGCGCTGCGCGCCTTCGAGGGTCAGGTCCCATGGCGCGAACAGCGGGTTTTCTACGTTGGGGAAGTCGAATACGCTGAGTTCTGTGTCTGGTGCCGAGGGGCTGCGGGCGAAAGAGCGAAGAGGTGCGTCGCAGTGGGCTTCGAAGAGATGGATCCCGGTGCCGAGTCGGGTCATGGACCGGACGCCGGTCGCGGGATCGATGCGCAGTCGGCCGGTTAGGTGGGGGTAGTAGTCCAGGAGACGGCTGATGGCTTTGCGTAGTCGCTCGACCGGGAGCAAGTTGACGGAGGGCGAGGACTGGTAGATCTACACGGCGTTGACGGGGGTTGCGAAGTGGTAGAGGTGGTCGAAGGGTCCTAGCATATACGGATCGGAGGGAGATCGGGTGGCCACTTTGGATGACATGGGTTGCGGTGGTGGTGAAGTTGGCAGTCGAGAGGGCCATTGTGAGTATTCAGGCGGTTGAAGCAACAAGAATCTGATGAGATAGAGGCGTCAACAGTGAGTTGAATGCAAGAGAGGTTTTGTTCACGTCAGATGTGGTTGGTAAAGTTGAAATTTCCTAGATGCTTTAGGGCTTCATTATGGTGAGTCGGTACAGACATCGGGCACCCTAATGAGCTTAGCCTCAGTCGCTTCATTGATCTGCAATATCCACTCATAGCCCCTACAGCTTCGCTCATGTAGAGATTATTACTACGTACGGGCTTTCCGGACCGACTTCCCAGTAGCTGAAGGGCATTCAGGATAAGCAGTGGTGCAATAATCCATAGTCTACAGATCTCTGCAGAGCACAACAAGTAGCGAACAGCAGCATTTCAAGGTTAGATCTCAGCTTCTCACCTTGGTTAGCATGTTCTAAGTACTACTACCCAGCTGCTCAGCTTTGGTCTCTATGTGCGAATATAGTCCCTCCCCCGAGCCAACCATAGACAAGCTTCCTGTCCAACAATGTCGCATTGTCGGTCCTTATTTCCCCTGTCCTCCATCCGACCCTTGCGCTACAAGCACCATCTCATGACCACCGCTACTCCCATTTTCACCTTTCCCCTTCAAACTGTGCCAGTCATACAGCAAAGCCCCCAGACTCGACACGGTGGCTAGAACCAGCCCCACACGCAGCGCATCTTTAATCGCCACGGCATACACACTCTGCAGCGCGGGAGACGTAGCCGTCAACGCGCCCCCCAGCACCGAGTAAGGGTCCACATCGGGCGCCAGCGTCCGCAGGGCTGCGGTTATATGTTCCAAAAACACCGCCTGCGCCACGGACACGAAGACGGCACCCCCGAACGTCTGCGCAAAGAGGACGATCCCGAGACCCGTGGCAACATCCGCCTCGGGGAGAGTGGTCTGCACCATGTAGAGGCCTTGCTCTTCGCCCAGGCCGATGCCGGCGCCGCACAGGATCTGATACCCGATCCAGCGGGCGCGCGGGGTCTGGTGCGGCCGCACCGTCGCGATCAGACCCGTCCCAACCGACATGAGGATCGAGCCCCCGTAGACAAACGGCGTGTAGTATCCTGTGGCGGCGGTCCCGAAGCCGGCACATACAAACCCGCCGACGACACTGCACATGAACGGGATGAACATGATGGCCGACTCGACGACTGAGATTCCGTCAACCAGTTGGAACCAGAGTGCTGGAGGCTTGGATTAGTGATAGTAGTGGAGCACTTGAGCGAGTTTTGTGACTCACGTATGTAATAAACGTTGACCTGGAACGGTAGTGAGATCTTAGTCAGCCAGGAGGATCTTAGGGTTGCGTATCGAGCACCTACAAAGAACACGCCACCAAGACAGAGACTAAACAGGATCGCAGCACCCATGCTTCGCCTGTGTAGCAATCGTAAAGGGATAACAGCGCTATCTTGCATCCATCGCTCAATGCCGGCGAACACGCAGAAGAGGATCCCGGAGACTGTTAGCAGAACAATGATATAGGTGTCGTCCCAGGCATACTTCGTTCCGCCCCAGGAGAGTGCGAGGAGAAGGCAAATTGTGGCCAGAATTAAGGTGATGGTGCCGCCGACGTCGAATCGGGCAATCTGGCTGTATAGTCCAGTCGAGGCTCGTGTGACGCTGGGATTGCTCTGGTAGAAGAAGGTCACAAAGAGCATGACTACGCCCCCGATAGGCAGATTGATGTAGAAACACCAACGCCAGGTTGTTTTCTCGGTGAAGGCTCCGCCCTGCTTGCGGTGTCAGTGTGCTGTAACAGTTATCAATGTCTGGTAGCACATAGGGCAATACCAGCAGAGGTCCAGCGACACTGCCGAGGGCAAAAGTACTGCCGATGATGCTATTCCATGTCGGTCGCCGCGGCAGCGGGACGCACTCGGCCAGAATCAGGGTGGTGCCGGCGGAGATCCCAGCGGACCCCAGCCCTGCCAGGGCTCGTCCAAGGATAAAGATATTGGAGCTCGGTGCTGTAGCACAAATAGCACTCCCGACCTCGAAGACCAGTAGTGCGGCCAGAAAGACCACTTTGTTGGAAAGAAGCGAATAGACCTTGCCGAAGAACGGCTGGAATGCACACGAGGTTAAGGGGTATATTCTATTACAATCTTCCTCGTTATTCGAGTCGATCCCCGCTGGGTAAGCGATGCAAGAATTGGCAGAACGTACGCTGCATACCAACCCACATCGTCAATACTGTCGAAAGCGTCGGTGATTTGAGGGACCGCAGTGGATAGTACGGTGTTGTCTACTGCGACGCACACAGTGGCCAAGCACAGGACGATCGCGACCAAAAGCAGTTTGGGGAGCTTGACCAGCTCGGTTGTGACCCCTACCTCGGTTTCTGGAGACTCATGGGGTATTACTGGCTCGTTTGCCTCTGGAGGGGACATTCTAGCTCTCAGGGTTTCTTGGGTTCGAGTGGCATGAAATGTTTGAAGTGGGCGAAAAGGTTGATGGTTGACAGGTTGGAGTGGGGGGAGAAACACTCTCTACTAATGCCCTTATCTCACGCTAAGTCGGGCCAAGCCGGTAATGGGCATAATCCTTCCTTATTTCAACTTAGCCATTGCTTGATTTGACTGTGCCATATTTGCATGCTGGCATGATGACCTACGTACTTATCCACCCTCACATTGACCATTCCTAAACTGAAGCTCATTCACACTAATTGGCTCCTTGTCGCAGCGTTAACCTTTTTCTTATCAACATCTCTTCTTTAGACCGAAAACGGGTGGGTTGCCGAGATTTTAGTCTAGTCAAGCGCTCTAAGCTCGATCAGTCTATGAGCGTACCCATCGAGTGAATATTCCACTACCACGTAACTATGTTGGAGTTATTCCATATAGTAGTAAGCGTACCAGCTCTACAAAAATCATGCTCCAACCGAGAGCTCAATAACACATTAATTTTGTTCCTAGGTTCTGTCCCCTCGGCCCTAAGAGGCGGTGATCCTGTCATGCTCAACAGCCTAGCGATCGCCACCAGCCATATCTCGCAAATATGCTAGATAAATTGCATAATATTGACTGCGACGCTGGGCTTGTTCTCCCGAAAGACTGAGACTTGTCATCGTTGCTTGTCGAACCTCTTGAGAGATTAATTAGATTCACCTATTCATCCACAAATATGGAAACACGCACTCTCTCAACTCATAAATTGTCGAACACTTACTATGTGATAAAGGCTCATGGTCAACACTTCAAGATATATAAGGACTCTTCCTCTCGTGCTGCTGCCTACCGGTACATGGGGCTGTAGGCACCGCCTCAGATACTTGACAGTGTCTGCCTTGAGCAAGGGTGCTACTACGACGCCGACGTGAAAAAGACCTGGGACCAGGCATGGAATTACGACCAGCAACACACCGCCGAGACGCTTGGGGCGGAGGTCAAAGGAGGCAATACCTATTGGGTGACCGGCAACGGCCGCGAGTCCATCCCGAAACTGATCAGATTTGTGACATCGTCGTAGAAATATGCCTACCAGCAGCACGGTGGGGAATACCTGCAGTATGGGGGGCTGACCTCTCAGGTGGAAAAGGCCCTCGAGGCGCAGTCGAATCATACGGGGAACAACTGGTGCTACTACTTGGGGGAGCACCACAGGGCGCGAGTTGCCCAGGAGAAAAAGGACGGGTATCAGAGATCCTATCTCATTCGGGACGTGGGCTGTGTGTTGCAGAATGGAAAGATCGAGAGACTAGATGGAAGTATTGACGACTCGACATAATTGGTTATTCGGTCAGCTGTATGAATTGCCAAGATTTCAGTAAGAGATTGGCATGCTGGTGCGGAGGTGATATCTTGCTTTTCAGGCAGGCTGAGCTTAGTACATGCGCTGCCACAGGGTGTGGATGTCTCCGTAGTAGAAGTTGAGAATTGGCTCAATTGATTCGATGCAGCAAGCAACGAAAGATTTGAATAATTGCTACTGCTAGGTTGTGCTACACGTTCCATGCAGTCAAATTCCATTGCCAGGAGACACAAGTCCAGTAGAAAAGGCAAAGTTATACATAATGTACCTGTAGTCGTAACAACCACCGGGGCCGCTCGCTCGCTTCCAGCCGACAATACTTCCAGAGATCCTGCCTCAGGTGTCAATGGGCGGGAAATCTTCTCACGTGATCCCTCCGCGGACTTTCACCCCACCACCGCAAAACTTTCCCCTCCACGCCTTCAGCCTCATATACGATTAGCCCAGACAGCTTTGGAACCTGAACCATCGCTACAAATTCCTCGTGTTTCCCTCCCACTCTCTACAATATCTCACCGAGCCGAGGACGCGGAGAATCCTACACCCAATTCCATCTCCTACTAAAACCCCCCATCCACCGCCCTCCCTACCCTCCAACCAACCGCCCAAAACCCACAGTAGCAAGCACCGCAACAGCACAACACCAACAACACCCACAACACCCACAACAATGGCGCAAAAGCTCCACCTCACCCTAACAACCACCCTAACCCTCCTCGACCAATTCCAAACCGCCCTCACGACCTCCAACGCATCCTCCACCTCCCCAACCACCACAACAACCGAAACAATCACCACCAAAGACGCCCTCCCCCTCCTCTCCGCCTCCTCCCTGACCCTAAAATCCCAAATCACCAAACTCTCGCTCGTCTCCATCACGGCCCCATTCACCCCGACGGCCGCCATCCCAATCCTAACCGCGCTCAACGAATCCGTCCTCCCCTCGCTCGTGACCGCCGCCCTCCTCATCACCGCCACGGACCACACGCAAGCCTTCCAGACCGAGGCGCACGCGCTCACCCGACTCGCGCTGACGGAGCTATCCGTGCTACTCAAGGAGGTACAGAGCATCGCGAGCAGGAGTGATACCTCAAAAAAGAAGGGGGAAGAGCTGGCGCAACCCGCCAAAGACGCCGTGACGCTGGCGGCGGCGCGGGCGTGGGAGTCGTGCGACGCGCTGGTGGATCTGGCAGCCAAGGGGGTGGTGGGGTTCGTGGTGCGGCGGGTGGAGCAGTGGCGGGATCTGGTGCGGGATGCTGTGGGGGAGATCGAGGAGTGGGATCCCGACGAGGAGGGGGATGAGTTTTTCGACGAGTTGTTGAGTGATGATGACGGTGATGATGATGCTGATGATGCCGAAGATCAAAAGGGGGAGGATGAGGATGAGGAAGAGTCGAAGGCGTTGCATGCGCAGAAAAAGTCGACGCTGCGCGTGTTGAAACCTATCGCGCAGGTGTATCCGGCGATCGTGACGCACCGGCTCAAGAAGACGGCGGATGCGGTGGCGGAGGTGGGCAAGTTGGAGGCGTTGACGGAGAATCTTCGGTTGATTCCGGAGCTCGTGGATGAGGTTGCGGGGGCGTTGTACGAGGCGAACCCGGACAAGTCAGGCCGGTTTCTGGGGCAGACTAAGGACAGGGCTGTCGCGGCTTTGGAGCTGGTCAAGTTGCCTTGGCAGCAGGGAACGACGGGTGAGGAGAAGGGGGACAAGTTTACCACTTGGGTGAACACGTGGTTGAAGGTCATGGATGAGCTGAGCAAGTCTGTCTTTGGCTCGGCGTGATTCTGGTGATTGCGTGGCCACTGATGGGTGAATTCGCTGGATTGCATATACCTTCGTATGTTAAATATACAACACCATAAATTCCCGACTTTACAGCAGTTTCTGGTGCCTGGGATTCGTCCCCGATGCAATTGTAGTCTAGCAGCTTTGAGGTGGAAAAGTACAGGTACATTAAACGCAGTAATCATTAACGCATCAATAAGATATTGTATCTGCTCAGTGTATATAAATCCAAAAACACGATGAAACCCTAGCGCAGCGTACCAGATCCAAGAGCTAAAAATCTAGATAACATCATAAGCATTAACCAACTTCTGTTTACTTCTTTCTTGGCCTGGGAGGCGGATTCCCCGGCGGCATCCCCCGAGGTATAAACTTGGGCCGAGTTCGGCTTGCCCGGGCTTGCTCGGCCGCTCCCGCAGAAGTCGACTCACCCTCCGGATAGAAAGTCCTATAGGCCTGTATCAATTCATCGTCACCGAAATCGCTCGGCCCGGCGTCGGGTAAGCCGTAATAGGGATCCTTGTCCGCCTCCGGAGTCGAACGCAGGCCAGCATCGTAGTGATGACGAGGGTCCATGTGCTCATACTCTGGGTTGGCGCGTTCAGGGTACGGGCGGAAGTGCGGCGGCGGCGGCGTAGGATATCGGGGGGCATGATTGACATAGCCCGGCTGAGGGTAGCCATATCGTGGGTCACCCATATAGGGAGGGTCATACATGCGGTGTGCACTGGTGCTCATCGGCCGGGGGGGTGGCGGAGGATAGTGTGCGTTGTTGGTGAACTCGTGGTAATCCTGGTAGAGAGAACCGTAGCCGGAACTAGACATCTGGCGCGGTCGAGGAGAGCTCGAATGGAAATAAGCCTTCTTCTGGTAATCCAGGTCGCGCTCGAGAAATTTCTCCATGTTGCTGTTGATTTTGGCCCGTCCACCGGGACCCATGTTCCTGTCCAGCTCGGCCAGGTACCCGGATTTACCCCCAGAGCTGCCCGAGCTACCACTGTCATGTGGACGAGGCTTGGTGACTGGGGGGTGATCCCCGTTTCGCTTTCCAGGTTTCCTGGACGGGGCTATGTTATTTTGATTGTTCGAGGAAGCAAAAATGTTGCTGTTGGCATACGCCAAGCCCTTCTCTGCGCTGCTGCCGCTACTGGCATGACCCCATCGTGCCGAATTGCCCTGTGGACTGAGAGAACGCGGGTTGGGAGAAGCGTTCGGCCTATGCTGTGGAAAGTGATATTGACCCACGGGCTTTAGCGGCGGATATATGTTGATGTTAGACTTTGGTTCCTTGATCGAGTGAGGAATAAGACACTTACGGGGCCATATGGGTGCAGCTGAACCGCGACCTGTCTTTGCAGCTTCAGGATATAAGCCTTCAGGTCGTGGATCGTTCTATCCTTTTTCTTGGATGCCCCCCGTCGCTCGGTTATCAAGGTGATTGGGTCAGTGTGCATACACGGCATCTTGATGGTCTGACATTGGATGCAGCCTTCCTCATCGATTGTGCACTCTTTCCTCAGGTTCTGCTCCCACGAAAAGAAAAAAAACGGTCAGCCAACCCTACTTAATCACTCTATCTTATAGTGGAGTGAAAGAAACAACACCAACGGAGTGAACCCACCTTGCAACGGTCACAAGCGATCGGGGTGCGGGTTTTCCGCATCTCGATGTACTTCTGGCGGATCGCCTCAGAATGATCGGCCTCTGCTTCATACTTCTTGCGTCTTTTGATCTTTCTTTTTGGGACGTAGTCTTTTCCGCTACCTTCGACCGCATAGGCTGAGTTTCTGTTCATGGGATGCTTGCCTTCATCTTCACCATCTTGGTGCTCCTCGTACTCGTCATCCGGCTCCACCGGGCGCCGACTCCCCTTGTCATCGTCGCTCTCGTCGCCATTTTGTGATGATGGCGAGGACTCTCTCTCATCATCCGCCTCACCCGCGGAGTCACGGTCCGCCTCCCGGCCCGGTCGTCCGTCGGTGATGCCTGCATCATCGACTTCCGACGGCGGCGTCGAGGAGGCCATCTTCTGGCGGTTGCCGCTGACCACGCGCAGGGCGGTGATCAGCCGAGTCTCCACTTCATCATTTTGGTCCTCGCTGTCCGGGTCTGAGTGACTGTCGCTGTCGTTGTGGACAGTGAAGTCGCTGTTCTCGTAGTCCTCATCGCTGAGCCCTGCTTGGCTCGAGGATCTTTTCTTCGCTTCCGACATCGGTGTTGTCGTTTGTGGGAGTTTAGCAGTAGTGCTTGATATTGTCTTTGTCAGAGCGGTAGTAACTGCCGGGGTTTCTCTGTCAATGCAGAAATTATGAGGAATATGTCTGCTATCTGGGGACTGACCACCTTAAATGAGTTGAGACTTCCCGTTATGAAAAGGTGATCAGGATAATGGCCTTGTGGAAGGCGGAAGAAAAAGAGACAAAGAATCTTGGGCTGAACGGTGACTCACATTGTGAGTTCAGACAAAGAAAAACAAAACCTACTTGTACGACAATGGCAAACGAGCGTCTGCAACGACGCTGGCCAGAGTTTGCTCTTTCGAAGACATTGTTATTGTTTCTTGCACCTGTAGACTTTTGAAAGGAGCGGAGCGTAGTCTGTTGCTGGGTCGCTTGAGAGTTTAGACGATGATATAACTTTCAGAGTCGAGAGGTGTTAGGGAACAGCATCCTGAAGCAACACTCGGACTCTGCAGCAAGACAGGCGGTGTCTCCAGGGGAAGTTAACCGGGAGATTGAGAGATTGCCGAGTTGATGATAATTTGACCTCTAAATCAATGCAAGAACGTGAGATCCCACTTGGAAGACGGAGAGTTGTTGTCCGATGGGTAGGAGTCGGAGGTTGGTGCAAAAGGAAGGAAGGTCTCTTTGCCCTCGCGTGGACAAAGCAAGCGGAGTCACGCCGGCTCTGTTAATCCAGCCAGCACAACCACAAAACTTGCGCATAGACAAAGCCTCTGTGTATGTCATTGTGCATATAACAATGCCAGTGTTTAGTACAATTGATCACATAGGCCATACTGGAAAAACATAACAGGGAATATCACAATATGCTTTGTTACTGATATGTTTCAGGATAGACAGAACAAAAGCACACAGATCGGCGATTATCATTAACCTACCTGGTTTCTAGACTCTGGACGGCTCTGCAGACTGATCAGTGGCTCAAATGGGTCATGGTGACCAATTAT